TGGGCAGCACGCAAAAGGAGGTGAAGCATCTAACCTCCAATTAAACGCAGAATGACTTCATAAAATACTAGCACAATGCTCTGAAGAACGTATCGTGTTAGTCTGAGCTAAATTATACTAAAGAGTTTATACGTACCATATAAAACGTCCATCCCAGTGCGTACGAAAGAGCAATGACAAAGAATAAAAGAATAGCGAACGTAGCCAATAAGCATACTTCCTACAGAGCACAATCAAAAATAATCAAATATTAAGCTTCTAGAACGTTTGATCGCAAATTAATGATAGAACACGTTGAGCACAATAATCTTTCAGAGCTGTAAAAATAACAGACCAATTACTCAAAGATTGTTTTGTTTTGCGTTTTTCTTACCACTCTTTTGTCAATTGGCATCTTTTCTTTTCTTGATTTTAAGTTTCATTTTGATTGCACAAATTAACTTCTTTCAAGTTCTGCAAATTTGCTTTAATTTGATTTTATGACGTCATGGTATTCTAATTTGATAATCGAATATTCGCGCGCAGTGCATGATGCCTGATCAAATCTCCGCGTTGTTAGTATCTCTATAAATCTTTATTTTATAGTTTTCTTTCGTTTTTGTGTAAGTTGGATAAAATAAGATTTCAAAAAGCAAGAGAAAGAATGAAACATGACTGACATGAAATTCGAACTCCGAATTTTAAACCAAAAGTTTAAAGAGAAAAAAAAACGCAAAAAACCATACAACAAATATTGTTCACCGCTATCTTGGCGTGGCCATTGAATTATAACCCGAGCTATAAAGCGGCAGAATGAAGTATAGGGGAAAAGGGTGGTTAGTTCATAGTACTCTCCCCATCGACTCTCCCCATTGATACTAAGTGATATGGTCCTACAACCGTCCCCACTCCCACCCTGTCAGTATTCATTAAGACCCATCGGCGAGATTACTTTAGCCCGTTTATCTAACATTAGTAAGGTGGCACTTAAGTAGTATGTTGAAATCGCGATTAAAGCAAAATATCTTCCGCATTTTTCGCTCTTTCGCAACATGTCGGATTTATATTTTTATMTGAAGTACATCGACTTGRATTTTAAACCAGATTTATAACTGAAGACGTCCTTCACAAATTACCCGAGTCATTAGTAGTTCGTGAAGAGAGTGCCTGAAGGCATATTTTATATTAAAAAAATACAAGAAACACTAGAAATACTTAGAAGACGAAGACGCGGTATTTATATTCATTACGACAATGATTAGTTTGCTTACGATATTCCGGTAATGAATTTAGTTATTTAAAAAACCAGTATATTGCATTTGATTTCTGTGCTGAAATTGTCTCGATTTTTTTGCTATCAATGCTTGTGTTTTGGGCTCAGTTATTAGCGCGCAGAAGAGAAAATTCGTGTATTATAGAGTTAGGCACATTTACATTATTCAGACACGCCTCTCTGCATGCCCCCTGTACTCAAACCATGTATGATTGATGTCTGCTGGTATACATAAAACCAAGAAACTGTATTCATATATGAATTAGAGGAAACAGAGAATCAAAAAGTTGCGCTTGCATTTGTTAAGGGAATAAATGAAATAATTTGTACAATCTATTCCGTATTCTTCACAAAGTAATTGTTAAGCATGTAGTTGCTGATTTTGGGTAACCACAACGTACTTTAAGCATTAAATAAGCATGTACAACTGTATTTTATCTGCCAATTCTACTGAGCCTTCACTACTACATGTTCGCGTCTTTGATATTTTCGAGTCAAAAATGTTTCTTTTTTTCTCAGCGAACGTCCCTGCAAGACAAGGGACACCATTGACAACCAAAAAGTATGCCGATATCTTGTATTTCAGTGTTACGCGTATATATTGGACCACTCCTAATGGCTTGAATCAGTATGTAATGCACTTAAATCAGACAATCTGACTCTTTTCCACAAACTAAAAGGCTGTCAAGTGATCAGTAGCCAATCGAACATTCRATCACGCAATCACATCCAAATCGAACACATGATCAGCCAATCCGATCTTCTGCTTGATATAAAGCACAGATTTGTCAACTTGGTGAGATACGTACTAGTCAAACTCTGATTCATTTTTAACTATCGAATACTTGACCGTTCAGTCATATAGCAGACTTAGTGATGAAACGATCCAATATGTAGCAACTCTTGTTAAGAGATTTGCTCGCAATCGAACGTTTGATCTACCAATCACGTCATTACTTCATTCAGATGAGATTAGGGATTTGGCTTCATGGGAGAGAGATGTACGCTATCTTTCTTACGCTTTGTTCATTGAATCACGACAATATTAACGTTTTGTTTAAATCAGCTGAAGTCAATTGGATGCATTACACTATCGAATGGAACCACTAGCAATCTTGCAGCTCCAAGATGCAGAACTCGGTCAATTTTACCAACTGTACAGAAACAGCGTCCTACAAGAAGGTCTTTTTGGCTATAAGCCTCTTTGAAATGATAATCTCAGTCTTTGGTTCAGCGGGAAATGCGTTAACRTGTTTTGCTGTTGTAAGAAATAGAAATCTACACAGTGCTACGAACTTCTTTGTCGTCTCCTTAGCAACGGCCGACTTTCTCATTACATCYATTCTTGTGCCTGTCAGAGCAGCTGAACATTTCTCAATATACCGTGAAWCRTCTCCTCCTGGTGCTACTCTGCTTAAAGTTGCAGTTTTYATAGGTAGAGYAACAATCTTGGCATCATTATCAAGTCTAGCTACATTAAGCATCGATCGATACATGGCTCTTCGCTATCCAATCAAATACAGAGCGTCTATTCGATATAATTTCACACGMACATTCGTGGTTATTGCAAYTCTGTGGATTTCTTCGTTGTTAATTACGACAATCCCTTTATTTCCTGGAGTAAGCGGCCTTCAAGGCCTCTTCATTTTTGTAGTGCTAGTATTTTTAATGACGTCTATCATGATTATAAGCAGCTGGAAGGTTTTCAGGCTTTTAAARCAACTCTCTTTACGATTAAGRCACTGCACACTAACCTCCAGTTCTCTCTCRTCGAATCACTTTTCCAACTCGTCAAACCGGTTTCTCCGCCCGTCAAGCCTGTTTTTCCGCAAATCAAACCATTGCTCYAACCMGTCAATGCAGTCAGACCAGTTTATTCGKCGAAATAAGACGACTTGTCGTTATACTGAGATCCAAAGCTCGCCAAGAGTAACCAGACCAAGATCGCAAAGTATGCCGGGACTAAACAGGATTTCTAGACTCAAAACKTTTGATAACAAAGCTTTTAAATGTGACRAYGTCCAGCCAGTGAAACTGTTGAATATTACTCCATGTGWGAACGGTCATAGRGAACYTGACGGAGAATTTACYAACTTGAATCCACAGTCAAATCGATCAGCTGTTGTACCYAGTCCTTCAATGAGCCTGCGATTTAAAGAGTCAGGTGCTATACCTAGAAATAAACTGAAGACGCAACACAATGGCTCAGCGGCTACCCATAATCCAGTGCGGCAGCTAGCTGATGGTTACATTGCCAAGACGATWGTCATTATTGTAGGAACTTTTGTATTGTGCATATATCCAAGAATTTTCCTGATAATTTATCACTTAAATTTTCCAGAAACGCCGCGAACTCATATCTGCCGKCTSTGGTTAAAAGTGTTACTCTACATGAATTCTGTTATTAACCCAGTACTATATGCATGGAGATTTAAGGATTTTAGACGAGAATTTGTCAATCTTATAATAACGTTAAAGAAAACACTATGCTACTAAGGTATTGGTGGCCGTTCGCAGCTATTCTCACTGTCGGGCTTCTCGTCCTTTGAGAGAAGGACTGGAATAGAAGGACAGGAAACCCGACAAAAGGAAGGCCTCGAAGGAAATAAAGGAATTTTAGCATGGAAGCTGACCGTATAAATTTTGTCCAGTGTAATGTGATTTGAAGAGCCTTTAGAGAAACTGACATGCGCAAAAGGTCACTGTAGTTGTTAACAGAAGGCYAAAAAACGAAGAGTAATTATCATATAATTTTGCTGAATGACAATTTTTTTCCACCACATAATCAATACGTTGTTGCTGTTGCTACTTTTGTTGTTTTTATTTTGTCCATAAAGACTATGCCAGCCATTTCCCACAGGGGATGAAGAGGATTGATGATGATATACCGTAAGTCTAAAACCCGAACATAGGGGTACATTTCATGAATGTATGATCAAGAATTGAACACCTGCGTCAGATGTTATCAATCACTTACACATGTAAACAGCATTATTAAAATAAACATTGAAAAAAAAAGTTCCATCCGATCAGAAAAACTAGTGACTGAACCTGCTCAGTCTTAGTGTATTTGACATCGACTGTCTTACCATTTTTGCTTCTACAAATTTCACCCCAACATTTTGCAACAATAATCACTGAAAAACGAGGAAACATGGCCMATAAAGGAAAAAYACTTTTACATTTACCTCAATATTTCATGTTGACATAATCTTAATGAAATRTCGTCATTGCGCCARCCTTTTTACTCAGGACAAAAATGGAATTTTAGTGGCATTAAGTGAATTACTTTCTAGAGGGAAATTAGATCGAAGTGTTTCAGTTCTGTTGTAAAATATTTATTTAGTTAATTGTAGCATCTAGAACGTCTTAGTTGACATTGAAACAAGAAAACTTTCATGCTTAACTTCTACAAAAACACGTTTAGCTTTATAGCGTTGCCACATTTAAACAAATCACAGTGGCGAAAGGAAGCTTATTAACTGAGACAAAAGAAAAATGAAGGTTTACATGCTCTTTGCGCTCCTCCAGTTGTCCATGGTAGAGCAAAAATTTCAAGCAGCTAGCGCAGTAACTGTTAATAACTACATTAGTGTCGGTGGAAGTAACTCGACTCTTCTGGTGAAGCTGATGAGATCTTTGCTTTCAGAGCTGAAAAAGACCAATGTCGGTACATGTCCCAAGGGTGAGCTTTTCTGGCTTGCAAGGCATTTCGTGTTTGAGGGTCTTACTTAATTATCGCAGACAGTCGAATAGCGATGTTGCATATATTGTAAGGGATTCGGACTGTCACTGGAAAAAATCGCGCGCTTTAAAGGTTGTAAATTTGATGTAAATATGATGTAAGTGTCCAAAATTCTGTAAATTTGATGTAAATGATTTYCGCTAAATGTACAGAATTTTGGACACTYACATCATATTTACATCAAATTTACAACCTTTAAAACGCGCGATTTTTTCCAGTGTGTATCCTTCCTTTTCAAGTTCTTACTTGAATACTCGAGTATACGCGATAAATTACTCGCTTAGGAATTTAAAATTTCCATTTTCCATGACGCCAGGTATGATTATTAACATGAATAGTCTCACATGTTATAGACTTGAACACGAAGCTCCTGTAATGATCCAAAACTTACTCACGGTTTGTTTATTTTTTAATGGCTCACGCATTGCTTCTAGTTGCCAAGAACTGTTACGATGTTCTACAATGTGGTGGGAAACAAAGCGGTGTGTATTCTGTGAACCCTGACGGAAAAGGAGAATTCCAGGTAAAAGAATTCCAGKAAASAATTTCAAGTCTAGAAAACAAAACCAAGCTTAAACTCYCCATCGTAGTAAAGCATCGGTCTTACGCTTGTATCAAACTAATAGATCACAGTCGTGGAGAAGATGGCCATGATTTACTGGAAAAAATCGMGCACTATAAGGTTGTAAATTTGATGTAAATATTATGTAAGTGTCCAAAATSATGTAAATTTGATGTAAATGATTTACATCAAATTTACATCACTTTATAATATACTTATAAAATTTACAACCTTAAAAGTGCSCGATTTTTTCAASTGATTTCACTATTTCCTCTTCTACTAGCATAACAAACACAACATTAATTTTGTAAATTAAAGATTCCCGTACAAAGATATCAATAGCTGATCAGTGTCATATACATTATCTACAGGTGTACTGTGACCAAAAAACTTCAGGAGGGGGGTGGACAGTTATCCAGAAAAGAAAAGACGGCTCGGTAGACTTTTACCGTGGTTGGAATGATTACAAAAACGGTTTCGGAGACCTAAAAGGAGAGTTCTGGCTTGGTCTCGATAAAATTAACCGACTGACCCATCAAGTTAAAAACCGTCTTCGTGTTGATCTGGAGGATACCAAAGGAAAGGGCGCGTATGCCGAGTACGACTACTTTGCTGTAGCTAGTGAACAAAGCAAGTACAAGCTTGGCATTGGGACCTACTCAGGTAAATGAACAGCGTTGAATTATAACAATGTTCGGGTAGTCTTTACGAACTAAATAATTGACATGGCTATTATCATTATCTTTTCCAGGTACAGCTGGTGATTCATTGTCTGGTCATCGTAACTTTGCTTTCTCCACCAAAGACCAGGATAATGACGCGAATAGCGGCAGCTGTGCCGTGTTGTATAAAGGTGCTTGGTGGTATACCAGTTGTCACGGCTCCAACCTCAATGGCCTGTACCATCACGGTCAGCACAAATCATATGCTGATGGTGTTAACTGGTCTGCCTGGAAAGGTCACAACTATTCAGCTAAGAAGGCCGAGATGAAAATTAAGCCCGCCAACATAAAACGTAAATAGTTTTGATGAAGCTCGCAACATTTTACGGCTATTATGAACAAGTAGAATCGAAAGTAGAAATAAAAGAACTGAGTAAAACACAACATTGTATGTGAACTTTGCTTGATCCATAGTCATGAACTCCTCTATTCAAACGATCTTCGTTTGAAAAGATGTAGCTCTCTTCCAAATACTAACGGCCTTGCCCCATCTAAAAGGTCTTTGTTAAAAGGTCCCTGTTCATTAAGGGTTATCATCCGAGCCTCTGTACTTTTCAAAGGAAGGTTACATTCCCAATCTCAAAGCCTCTTCATTTCATATTTGGGTCGTTTGTATCTCACTGTCGTCTGTATTCCCCCTCCATAACTCTGCAACCTCTACAGAGCTTGAGGAATATTTGAACTCGGGATTTTAACAACTTCACGTTTTGGCTCTAATCTTTAGCGTTCGATAACAGGCATTTGCCGATAAGAGAAATAAAAAAGCCACTCCCACAAAACCAGGCTATCAAAAACAATCTCATCTTAAAGGAAATGGGATCTGAAAAAATTTTGAAACAAGACACTATCAAACAGAATTTCTATTGACTGAAATATAGCTACAGAAAAACATGATCAAAACGGAGATCGATCAAATGCAGATTCGATGTGTATTGTCATGTATAACGACGATTTTCATGTGCCCCCTAGTATAGGGATAACACTCACTAGGGGTGCTTGAGTATTGCCAAGATTAATACCCCCTCCCTCCCCGGCCCTACCCCCCATAGACCTGTCCTGAGATTGAAGGTAAAACTGCCTATCTTAACAAATTAAACATTGAAAGAAAAAACACACTTACGTATTGAATTATAGTACATGTAATGCTGATATCCTATTATAAATCCTCGCTCTTCTCTTAGATGACTTTTCTTGTTTGTTATAAAAGTTATGACCAGTTTCTTAGCATTATTGAAGATGATGGAGAATGGCTTTTTAGATCCACAATACTGGAGTTGTTTCTCACCTTAAAAAATAGCAAAACTCTATCCTTAATAAGGGGCTGGTCAGATAGTCAAGGTGTTAAAGGGGGTTGGGACCAGAAGGGGTGATAATAAAATTAAAAATAAACTAATATTAAATGAACAAAAAATCTCAATCGTCTCCAGAAATTTGTAATTACAATCATTAATCTACCATTTGGTCTCCAGCCCCCTACACCCTCAGCTATATTCTGACCATTCTTTTATAAGCTAATGTGCTTACCATGCTTAATAAAAAGCTGATCTGCAATACTACCATTCAAACTGCATTTCTGTTGATGCCAATGATACCTTAGACTAAATGCCATGACTGACAGCTTKACTGAGTGATGCTCTGGGAYRGTGATGAYCCATTTCTGTTTGAATTCTTCATGTGGGTACTTTACTGGCCAGTGAATGGAGGATAGCTCTCCAGAACTGCTATTCAAGTATGATGGACTAAAACAAACATAGATCAATCACTCATTGATATTTCAATAAAAATTCCTGCAATGCAAAATGGTACAGGATGACAGTCTTTATCGTCCTAAGAAGTTGGATTTTGGAAATGGGATTCTCACTAAGAAAGTAGGGAAAAGCTTGAAATTTGATAAAATAGCTGGGACATTTGTACCTTACAAATGGGAATTGAATGTGTAAATGGGAATGGAAATTGTCAATTCAAGACCCTTCATGACCAGTTCATTACAAATAGTTATCATATAATTTTTCACCTGTGTCTGATATTCTGATATGGCAGTGCCTCAGAGGTATAATAGCCAATAGCTAAAGTCTTGTAGTGTACATAAATCTTTTGATCTCTGCTGCCATCACTGTGAAAAACCACAGTCATGCACTCATCTACAGAAAACATCTTGTGAGGTACTTGGTTCTCACCACAGAATCGCCCAATAGAAGATGGTATACATCTAGTGAAGGACATCAGGCTGATNTATGTACTTAATTTGATGTATTAGACGCGACTGTGATGATTGGTCTGTCGGGGTTAGTGCATAAAGACACGATTCCTTGGGACAATGCATTATGGTGGTCGATTATTGGGGATTGGTCGGTATATTAGTCGCATATTCATGACGATTTCCCTTTAATAGATAGTCTAGATGATGTACTTCTCGCTATTAGCTGCTGTTTATAATCTCTTAGCAGCACCAATGGCTTTTCCTTGATAGCCAATGACGTTCCAAACTGCAGTGCTACGTCAGTAGTTTCCAGGTTCATCAGCGCACGTCTGACAGCTTTTGTCGAGGAATGGTAGACGCCTAGTTTACTGGAGCGAATGTCAAGAGCTCGTTGAAAAAGYTGGCGAGCTTCTTTAGTAGCATCTTTTGTGTCTTTAGTGTACAAGAGTTTACCTGTTGAGGTTAGTTACTAAATTAGTATGATTTTTTATACGTAATGTAGTTACATGAACAATCGATAGCTCACAAAATACGTCCGTGCTTTTGTTTCCCCTTATACGAAATCTTAAAATTGCTGGCATTTTTTCCAAAGAAAGGATTAATGGGGAGCTATACATTAATTAAAATTGTATGCTTAAATATAACACAATCATCATCAAATCAATATCATCGTGATCATCACCACTATCGAGGGAATATACTCACTCACCAAGTTTGAACAACGTACTCGCAACGTGAATATGCGAAGTACCGAGAGTCTCCTCGCGCATGCGTAAAGCCTCTCGATAAAGTTTCTCTGGCTCGGTGACGTCATGTTGAGTACTGACGTCACTCCAGTACAGCGTTCCCATGACATCAATGACTTCGGCGACCAGTGGATGGGTRTTTCCRAACCATTTTCTGCGCATGTCTACTGCCATTTGTAAAGTCTCCTTAGCGTCTGACCATAGATGCTGTTTCATCGATAGCAATCCCATATGGAAGTATACGTTGGATATTCCTTAAGATACAGAACGATACAGTTTAACAAACATTTGAGCACCTAGCTCCCGAGTAAGACGAGCCAGGTAAAAATATCATCTTCTGGCTATATTCTACCCATCGATTGATTGTTATGTTGGTAAATTTATAAATTTATCCTTTCAAATATGAAGCGTTACAAACCGCATACTTATAGCTAAAAAAATCTGAATTTTTGAAGGAAAAAAAATGATTGTTGTTTGGTCTTTACTCCGACGAAGGATTAACATCCGAAACGTCAGTAAGTTATTTCCCATACTTTTTTACGGTGTTAAACTTATCTTCTTTACACAACTGTTTCTTTAGAAACACCGACGCAGCTCACACTAGTTTACCGCTAGTTCCCACCATTTTGTTGTTTGGGTAGTCTTATTTCTAACTAATTAGTGATAATTTTTTGCAAAAAAAGATATCAACGTTAACTAGCTATACAGTCATTTCTTACCTTCAAAACAATGCGACAGTTYCATATGATTTAGCGCCCTCTCCAGCAATGGCCTAACGGTCTGATGAGACCGAGCTTCTCCAGTATCAGRCCTGGAACGAGCTGATGAACTTTTCGATCCTCGCGATGGATGTCGGGACCGTGGCCGTTCCTCTACTGGTCCACTAGGAATACTACTGCCCATGTGCACAAAGGCCAACTGGTTGAACAACCGGCCCAATGTTGCCTCTTTCTTGGTCTGAAATAAACATATAGTGTCAATGGAATCATGGGATGTATGGTACAGGTAGCCCGCGCAGGACAACTCACCTTGTCAGTCAAACCAGTCATCTCACTAGCTGTTTTGATGGCGTTTTTATACCATATATCAGCATTATTGGTATCAAACATGGTTATATAAAAGTCGCCCAACGTGCTTTGTATATCACATATCAGCTCCATATCTTGCACAGAAGCCACAGGGTACCCAATCTTGTAAGCCGATAAGAGATACCTTTCAGCCGTKGARTGCTCATCGTTCATGAGAAAGCGTCCGATATGAAAAAGGATTGTAGCGACTTCTATTGGCGTTAATAAGTCTTCTTCTGATTTCCCACAAATCTTTTCGACGACAGAGTACTGGTTGATGCTTGAATACGCATGAGCAGAGTCAGTTYGTGCAGTGCGCATGTCAACGGAAAGTCTATCCTGAACATTTGAAGCCATTTCCTCAAGTAAAACATGAGGCGTAAGCTTGTGCTTGATTAAAGTGTCCCAGTAACACATCAAATCAAGATTCAAGCTCGAATCTCTCTTATTATGGACAAGTCTGAGGAACATCGCAGGATCAGATAGAGCTTTCCTCAACTCTTCCATATTTCCGCTGACCATAAGTTGCCATGGTAATTCTTCCACCTTACGTAGCGTTAGCGGCTCTACGGTGAAAAAATTGGACAAGACGACGTGACATTGCTGCTTTTGTCTTTCCCAGGTCTCACTGAAGACGGACACCAAGCGCTCTTTTGAGGGGGAGGTGAGGTTACCAAGTAATGCTAAATCAACAGCACTTCTAATGGCGTTATGTGAAAACGTCAATACGCCTGACGGTAGCTCTAGAAAGGCATTCTGGGCCACAATACGGAGCATGCTCCAATATGCACTACTAATAACAAAATTGTTAGCATATCCCATAGCCTTTAGTGCGCCTAGCATCTCGTTCTCTGTCAATCCATTACGAGCAACAGATATCAATCTCAATGCGTCTGCCACCCAACCACTGTTCATACGATCACGTGACGCCTGTGTTTTGATTGATGGGACAGGGCTACGACTTGCTACAGGGCGCAACCATCCATAATCGTGCGTCCAACGTCGGAAAATCAACTTCCACAAGTCACATATAGTTGTGGCATGACAATAGGTCTCAATTTGTCGATCAGCGGCCTTGTGCGCACCAAGCACGCGCAACTCGTTTGCAATGGATACGTAATACAATGGCAAATGTCCTARAGAMGAGCTGGAAATTTTAGCAAAGTATTGATCGTCCATGAATTTACTGTAGTTGGGTCCAACGTACTCATTCAGGAGTCTCTGTTGTGCTTTAGTATYCAGAAGGTTCTTGATTTCTATAAAGTAAGCATCACCACGCCTCTTTAAAGAGCGGTATGTAAGGTCTGACGTCACTGTCGTTACAATCACACGGCAGTAATCAGGCAATATTGAAGGCAGCCAATCAAGTTCCTTGACGTCATGAGCCGGTTTATCATGTGATTTACCAAATGAGTCTGCACCATCAATCAATATAACACTGGGGCCAAGCTTAACGGCTGCACTGAAGGCTTCAGTTACACGGCCAAAGTTAGCTGTGTTGTTGATATCCATTTCAGTAAAATCCGAGTTCAAATATTGAGCACGAAGTTCTTTTGTACAGCGCCACATAAAATTGGTGACGTCATAGGATGTGGCCTCACAACCAACGTGATGAGAAATGACTACTACTTCTGGGTTGGCTGTGGAAAACTGTTTTACCCAATTACAAACCAGCGCACTTTTTCCACATCCACGCTCACCTAGAGAGAACATGAACATAGACTTAGAAACACATGGAATTAACAGATTATCACAATAACATTTTAATAACCATTGCCTCAAGTTACAAAGAGCATTATAAGACAACATTCAAGTTATACTACATGCAAAGAAAGCAGTACCTGTTAGAACAAGAACTGATGGTAAAGAATCTGTTTCACCACCAGGAATACTTGTCATAAATGTACTCAGTAATACATGAGTCAATACCATGCTTGTCTTTCTTTTAATACCCTGGTCCTTCTCTGCATGTACATTGATGATATCCAGAATCTCTCTAATCTTTGGTGACCTGATGAAGATTTTACGCCGGGATTCTGCAAATGCTCCATGATTTGACCACTCTCGAAATGTTTCTGATTTGGTGTCTGGGAAGACAGTTGGGCTGATTTGTGGGTATAATGAATTAATGATAGCAGTCCAGTCTTGTAGTACAAGCTCTCCAAGCTCCTGGGGAGTTTTGAACATGCGAACTGGTAGTTCTATAAAATGTTTCAAGTTTTCACATTAATAATTTAATATTTAAAATTTGAATATGCAGATACATGTATTGATTTCATCAGTGATGGATAGGGGTGTATTACAAGAATTCCCTCAAGTCCGACTAAAGATTGGGTTAGAAAGGATGTAATTGCAATGTTCATACACCAAAATGGTCTTTAAAAAAGACAACCCCTGCTAAATACACTAGAACATTCCTTGAGTGATTGCACCATAAATATTGTCTTGTATCATTTAACTCGACTAACTATCAATTAAGATGATATACCTGTATCAATAATCTGTTGCTTCAATTCYTTCAGCTTTCTTGCTGCATAATCGCTCTCATGTTGGTGATCTGACAGCAGTWTACTCTTTTCAGCTGGATTTGCTGGTAACTGGACATCATTGTTGTCAGGATTGCAGAAATAAAAGTAGCCATAATCATACTTCTTACGAAATGATGCCTGGACCACTTCTAGTTCAGTCAAACTACTGTATCTAGAAACCAGCAAAAGTATCAGCAAGGACGTCATAAACATTGATAGCTTCCAAGGAATCATCACAAGATCAGACTTTTTATTTTTGGTTCTTGGGTTATAAATCATTGTTTGTTTGTTTGTATTGTTGGTATATTTTTATTTTTGCCCTGTTTGTTTTTGTTTTCTTTTGCTGTATGTAACACAAGTACAGTTTAAAAAACTAAATAAAATTGATAAATTGAGACAAGTGAAACAAGTACAGTTTAAAAAACTAAATAGAATTGATAAATTGAGACAAGTGAAATTAATTAATTATTGATTAAATTATAAGTATCGCCTATTACATTTTTTGAATCAGAAATTCAAAATAGCATTTGTTTAGTAAGTGTTTTATACCTGTATTCCTCTTCGTTAACCCATTCGTAACCACATGCTGCAGCAGTTTCAAAGTTCTTGTCTAACCATTGTAAAGTTGCTTCGTCTTGCTCTTCACTCTCAGCTGGTCTATGCACGCCATAACGWTCTCCTAACATACATATAAAAAACGGTGCACAACGTTCAACGTTGTCCAAACAGACACGTAGTATTTGCTCACTTGTTGCTTGCCCTTGCTTTGAATTCCATTGTAAATCGACAGGAAGGAACGATAGTCCACGTTGCCTACATAAAGCATCAAGCTGKGGGAAAATATCRTTCCTAAGATAATCTCGTTCAGCCTGAAAATCTTTAAACGTTCCGCAGACAAATGGAGAGAGAGGTTTYCTTCCTGCAASTTGTCCTTTAGAGTGAGTTCTACTTGTGTTGTTGCGGYTGTTCATCGTGGCGCTTGAGCGTAAATTAAAGTTATTCCATTATGATTTCGCCAGCGAATCAGTTCGTTTACCTCCAATATAAACATTTACTATTTGATAAATTAGTAATTGAGTTGAACAAAGTCATTTTCCAGTGGAAATGACTCACTCAATAGCAATAGAATTCACCAATTATAAGTGATAATCAAAGTAGTTGTTACCACGCTCGGGTTTCGTTTGGTAACCAAAACAACAATATAAGGCAGGCGTTCCTTGTAAGAACACAGGAAGCCCGGCTGCTGAAAAATGTAGGTAGAGTTGTTCAATAATGGCATTGAAAGGAAATGAAGGAAAACGAACGATTTTTTGTCTTTTATGATGCATTAATTTTTGCATAAATAATATACATAGAATTTCTAATCCGAGTCAGCTCACACTGAAGACCGTCTTGTTTAAATATGTCAGTTTTTCCTCCCACTTCCGATAAAAGTTCAGAATTACACAGAAATTGAGGACAAAAGTGACAAAATAAAATGCTTTATTATCATTATATAGCTTTCACCCTCTTCATTTGTACAGATTGAGTTTGATGGTCGCCATGGTAACACTTGATATATTATGGGATATGTACAATATTGCAATCATACATGTGTGATTCNGCAAGTTTTATAGGTGTTACAGAATCCATTTTCTCGCTCATTTACCGATTTTATTATATTATTCACGTGTTTTATATTTTTGTTTTGATCGGAAGTAATTGTTGCCGGAAGTATAGTTTGAAATATATATATGGTTCTCATTGGTTATAATTTACTTCCGGAAATTGGCACATGCGCATTTTCAAAAATCAATGAGCCAATCAAATTCTCCAGAAAACGGTGTGTGCCAGAGCCTACGATCTTCGTCGCAGACCGAAAGAATCGCAGGCTCTGGGAACGAGATTGCGTCTTGTTTCAATATGTCAGTTTTTCCTCCCACTTCCGATAAAGTTCAGAATTACACAGAAATTGAGGACAAAAGTGACAAAATAAAATGCTTTATTATCATTATATAGCTTTCACCCTCTYCATTTGTACAGATTGAGTTTGATGGTCGCCATGGTAACACTTGATATATTATGGGATATGTACAATATTGCAATCATACATGTGTGATTCTTTAATGAAAAAACTGTTCATGAAAATAACTTTAGCAGTCGTCACTGACAGTGAAAGATAGCGTGTTGTTTCATGGTGMAAGGGAGGGGGGAGGGGCGAGGACCTTCCCAGTTATCAGCGTAAATGCACATTACACATTGTTGATGGTATTAAATTTGTTTTAAGTTGCTTTGGCTTGAACGTTCCAGTGGAATTGATACAGTTGCAGTGATGGAGAAATGACAATGTCATTATTCAGTACTCCTCCTCGTCTTCATCACTAGCATTCGAGTCATGTCCAACTTCTATGTAATCTCTTTCTAACGTTGCCATGTCTTCTCGAGACTCAGTAAACTCCCCTTCCTCCATTCCCTCTCCAACATACCAATGGACAAAAGCACGCTTGGCATACATCAAGTCAAACTTGTGATCAAGACGAGCCCATGCCTCAGCAATAGCCGTGGTGTTGCTCAACATACAGACAGCACGCTGAACCTTGGCTAAGTCACCTCCAGGAACAACTGTGGGTGGCTGATAGTTGATACCAACCTTGAAGCCAGTGGGACACCAGTCAACGAAGACGACAGAACGCTTGATTTTTATTGAAGCTATGGCAGCATTAACGTCTTTAGGTACAACGTCTCCACGGAACAGCATACAGCAAGCCATGTACTTGCCATGACGTGGATCACATTTCACCATCTGATTGGAGGGTTCAAAGCAAGCGTGAGTAATCTCTTGTACTGTTAACTGTTCGTGGTAAGCCTTCTCGGGCGAAATGATTGGTGCATATGTAACCAATGGGAAGTGAATACGTGGATAAGGAACCAAATTTGTCTGGAACTCAGTCAGGTCAACGTTCAATGCTCCATCGAATCGAAGCGACGATGTTATGGATGAAACGACTTGACCAATTAATCGATTCAAGTTGGTGTATGTCGGACGTTCAATATCGAGGTTTCTTCTGCTCAAGTCGAAGATCGCTTCGTTGTCGAACATAAACGAGCAGTCAGAGTGCTCCAGAGTGGTGTGCATGTTGAGGATCGCATTGTACGGTTCAACGACTGCAGTGCTGATGTTTGGTGCTGGATACACTGTAAACTCCAGCTTGGATTTCTTGCCGTAATCTACAGACAACCTCTCGATTAACAGTGATTCAAAGCCAGAACCAGTGCCTCCACCGAGCGAGTTAAAGATGAGGAAACCTTGAAGACCTGAACACTGATCGACCTGTGGAGAGAAAGTGAGCACACTGGGCAGACCATGGACTTTAACCCCCTCGTCCGAAGACAAGGGTGACCATGTTCCACCCAGTGGAGCAACGACACCACTAAACACTTAATAACACTAACAAAGAGAATACCTTAGACATGCTGAAGACAAGAACCTTGATAAGAAAAGACGAAATGGAGAAAGAGCTGAAAGAAGAAGAGCAGCAAAGAGTGAAAAGAGTCAAGTCAAGATAAGATAAGATAAGATTGCTAGTCACAGAAGAGGAACTCGAGGGGGCCTGTTGAAAGTATTTCAGTCTCAGCAATTCAACTGCAACTGGAACGCTCTAAACAGGCATCCCAACCAACTAGAAGAGCTTTGTAAAGACTTGTCAAAGATTAGAGAGYAACACAGGAAGACCGCAGGAAAGAGCAAACGAGAAATGAATCATTCTAGMATGCAAAGAGGAAYAATTAGGRAAAAYAATTTGGTTTATTTTGAATTCATTAGGGGGAGGGGTGGCCTAGAATGTTCATTTCGCGTTTGAGGTGGGGTCTTGCCGGGTCTTCTCATGTTACTCTTGAAACAAATTGTAGATAGATTTAGTTGAGAAAAAGATAAAGAGTTATTTTCGACGCGTCGAGTTAATCTTCTAGTTGRTCGATCCTCTCGTTCCTTCCCCACCTGTTCCTCTATAACTAACACAGGTTGAAATAGAAATTAAGGCGACAGCTGGGAAATAGAGAGAGATATWGAAAAGTAATGAAAAACTAGAATTAAGATAAGATTAGGAAGATTTAGCAGAGATGAGATTTWAGCTGAATAGGAGAAAATAAAGAGGATTAGAAGAAAGTTTAATAAGCGAAAAGTTTAAGAAAGAAATGAATTATTATTTGGATTATATGGCTTGCAAGAATTTAAGTCAGACATTTCGAACATGGAGTTAATGTTAATTAAGATAAAACATATATAAACAACAAAACGAAACTGCTCACCATCTTTCTGACTCGGTCCAACACAAGATCAACGATCTCTTTGCCAACTGTATAATGTCCTCTAGCGTAATTGTTCGCTGCATCTTCTTTCCCGTTGATTAACTGCTCAGGGTGAAAAAGTTGACGATAAAGGCCAGYTCGCACTTCATCTGAAATAATAATAAAATGACTCTTATTGAAAACTAACAATTGTCCTCAATTTCTACTCGGCATCTGACATTCAAATGGATTCCTATGCTCTACAACCAATTGAATTTCATTACGAAAACACATGATTGGAGATTGTCACTTTTTTATCCAATCGAGAGACAAAGAAAAAGTAGACGTCGTCAAATACACACAAACTCAAAATTTCGATCGGCGTTTGTAAAAATACAGTAATCTTCAAAGACAAGGTTTTTTCTTACCAACAACTGTCGGTTCTAAATCCACAAACACAGCTCTGGGGACATATTTTCCCGATCCAGTCTCACTGAAGAAAGTGTTGAAGGAGTCATCGCCGCCAAACTGAATGTCTTGAATTAGACCATCAGCTTTGATATTATGCTCTAAACAGTAGAGCTCCCAACAAGCATTCCCGATTTGAATTCCTGCTTGACCGACGTGGATTGACAGGCATTCTCGCTGAAAAACAAAACAGTGCAAAACATATGCTAAGTTAACTGTCTAGAGAAAAAAAATAAGGAATGTTGTYTAGAAATTCTTGGTTCTGTGAACCGCCTTCACTAAAAATGTCGTTTTAACTTTTGAGTTTGAAAAATCATTTCATGTAGAACAGCTAACGAGACTATAGTGACCCCCCAAAATACCTAGATAATGATAATACTAACGATATTACCATTTTCTTTTCAAAGGTAGAGCTTTTTCAGCTAAATCCGACAAAAACTTGGCAAAAAAGAAAAATTGCTTGAGAATTTCTCGCGGGGTTGATGACGTTGAAGTGACTGCTGCGTTCAACAATCGTTAATGAGGTGATTAAAGCAATTTTTAATAGTTTATCAAGTAATTAACATTAATTAACTAATTACCTTTAATTTGTGTCGTTTTCTAGCAGGTTTCAGATGGAGATTTTAGAAAATTCGTCGTTTTTTGACTGCTTTCTGACTTGAACACTTGACAGACAGAAGTTCCTCTTTGAAATGATTTTAAAAAATGATGACGTTTATTTCAGCCAATCACAGCCAAATGCGTGACATAACACAGGGAACCCAAGGATGGCAGTAGCAGTTTTTACATGAATATTGAATTTTTGATGATTATCATATTTTTTTGTACAAATATTCCCATGGCAACCATTTGGCTTGTCTACGGTCTATAATCTTGTGCTGCGACTAGAAGAAAAAGTGTCGTCTCTGTTGATACTGAAAATTAAAGAAAAAGATTCAATAATGGGAAATGAAGGACCAAATATCACACTTAAGGGTGTTTTTCCTTTAATATTCTCTTTCTCACCTTGAAGTGCCACAAATAAGTGCACACATTTCACCCATCTTATATTATCCCATCTACACCTTATCGTCATCATCATCATCATCATCATCATCGTCATCATCATCATCATCATCATCATCATCATAGCTAAAGTCATCACTAGTACCTTGTTTGACTGTTAGTTCCCGTAGTAATTTCAGTAGATCTATTCATCCTCTCTCCATCATCACTATCAGTATCTCTGACAGGTTCTTCCCGTAAGTAGCTGTTCTTAATGTAGTGAGGGTCTAATTCTAAATGAACACGGTTGTGATGAGTCTCAGGTTTCTCATTATTAAGTTTCTTTTCTAGATTTTCTTTGTAAAATTCTTGATCTCCTTTAGTAAGCGCTTCTTCATCTTCATGTTCATGAAGTACTGACTGTTTGCAGTCGAGCGAAGGTAACTTCACTACATAACTATCATCTTTCAAGCAAACTTTCAAGTCATTTTCCCATTTACCAWGTGACTTAAGATCAGAAGTTRCACTAGACGGTCTATTGTCRGTATTTTTTCTAAGRTATTTTTGTTTATTATGGTCAGTGTTTTTGCTTTGTTGATTGACATCTTTAAGRGGTCTAACTGGWGACATRATTCCAGCCAATGGATCAAGTCTATTATCTCGTATCCGYACAGATGGTTCTTTYTGYCTTTTTCTCTGTTTAGCCTTAAGACCAGCTGCTGTTAATTCTTTYTCGATYTGCATTCTATGAAGACTGGTGTCTGATGAGCTATGACATCCTGWATTTTGTGCGTTGTGTGACGATGATTGCCCAAAATARCCCGAYGATCTTCTTAACTCGTTCTCACTCCGCGCTACATGCCTACGCATGCGCGTTTTGTATTCCCGCGGCAAAGATCGGGTATCCCGAGGGATATCGGGGTATCGGAGTACTGCGGGATAACTATGATGGAGGTGATGRCAGTGCTGTCTTGAGTCTTGCATATGCGGTGAATACAGAAACTCYTGACTTCTTCGTTGTCGCCTCTCAAGCGCTGCGTCCCATTCGTCRAAGCTCAAGAGATCATCTGARGAYGTTTCATAGAGATCACTATCTTCATCCTCTTCCCAGTCTTTCTTTGTTCCTTTCCCTCTTTTCTTTTCTCCTTCCTTTGGAACGAGCGTAGGATCAAACTGAGGCGGGAAATCCTGAGCAATGTTTRCACTTGGATTTGGACTCGGTGGTTGTGGGCTTTTGTATGCTTTCTCTAAGTCAGTCACGTGATTGTTATTGTCYAATTGTGTGAAGTACATGTCGACATTAGTYTCTGAGCCTGTACGTACTGCACTGTTATAACAACAAGGYTGGGGATCATGATAAGGATCAAACAGTTCGTTATCCCGACATGCACCATCAACACCCGCATATGTCCCAGAATACCCCACGGGGAACTCCTGGAGTTCAACAATCTGTCTTCTCCTTGGTTGAAGTTTAATGATATCTTCAACACTYTGATTGGTTGGTTGCTGTTGACCACGTGACCACTKACAGCATGTCGAAGCACCTCCTAATTTGCCAGCGTCTGTACTGCCGTAGTTTTTCTGTCCGCGATTTGATTGGTTRTTCAAGAACTCGCCCGCACTGTACCAATTAGGRTCCTGTTCATCATACACTGAACTTCGTTTATAACTATCTCTGAAYTGCTTATAATTGTAACCATACCGCGACGCTAGGAACTCATAACGGAATTTATCCCTGTCTCTTGACCTCTTGAGGATTGCTTGAACGATTGACCGTGATTTTTTAGGATTGGGGAGAGTTGATGACTGCCCTTTGTTRCTRCTTGTCACCCAYGGTGGCTGATGGGAAGAAAAGAGAAGGTCATACGTTCAGAGTATCGATATTTGCGAGTTTAATCCAATCAGTCATAATTCAACTATGTAATCACACTAATATCAATATACAACTTGACATATCAACATTACCTTACATATCTTATAATATGAAAAATTAGATAAAATATGAATGCGATGGTCTTTTCACGCTAAGGTGAGTAATCTGTATCTTTCCTACGCCCAGGGTCAAACGTCGGATCTCACATGTACTGAGTTCAATACAAATGCGAWGATAAGTGAGCACAGCAAACAAGATCAGAATATTTTGCATTGARTTACGGGTACATGAGARATCCACGAACCAGGCATAAAAAWAAWAAWRAWAATRAWG